TAAGAGTTATAATTTTAGGGGAAAGATATAAAGGCGTCATACTCCAATTAGTAATTACAGGAGAAATTTTGTTTAATGAGAAAAGATAATAGACAATTGAAACAGCAGACAAAAAAATATAAGTACAATGATTTAAATTGAGATGAAATAAATAAAATAAAACTAAGAAAATTAAAAGAGGAGAGAAGCTATGTAGAAAATGTAAAATAGTAATAAGATATGGAATAGAATATAAAAATGAGCATGAATCTGAATTTGTGTCTGTATGAAGAAATGTAACCTGGGATTATGCTGCTTTCAAAAAAGATGTTTTACTTGTCTTTTTGTGAAAACTCAAATAAAACTTACCAAAAAAAGTGATAAACTCAGATTTGATGATTAAAGAAAAAAAAGACACATACCCTACTGAAAATAATATAGCAAACAGCTACCATCTATTTTGCTCTTGTTTGCTGTGACACTTGCAGGTTGTGAAAATAGTTTCCCCCTTAAGACCAATGTGCTATTGGTTAATCTATTGCCAGATTTTGCTATATGTGCTTTGTAGCAAATTAGACTGAATTTTGTGCAACTGTAAAATTGCAAATCAAACCCCAGAGTTTTGGCCCATCTTTATTCATCATATTTTACTTCTTCAGTCAACATTATTACTGGTTAATAGGTGCACCTGTAAATCAAGCTGCATTGTGTACTTGATATGTTATGTTAAGTGAATCTTTTCTAGGGCAGCAAGTCTATTTTTTCTAATGAAGAAGAATATCTCATCTTTCCCAATTTTCCTATCAAACACAACTACATCATCTTGAGGCAGCATCACATCCAGCTGCATCAATGCTCTGCTTCAATTATATGAAATTACCCAAACTCCTCTGGGGTCCTTTAGGTTTTCTTTGCTATATGAGACGCCTTCATGTACATCTCTTGTGAAGTGCATGATTACAAACTATTCAACACAAGCCTGTTTTAAGTAAACAGTAAATTAAATATTGTCAGAGCTTCTTCAAGCTTGCATCTATGAAAGGAAGTCTTAAAAAAAGGTTTCATGGAAAGGAATGCTTTAAGAAAAGTAGCTGCACTAAGATGCCAGGCTTTTCCCTTATTTGGAAATGCTTGATCTAGTTTATATTTTTGGCTTGGGATAATTTTCATCTAGGTTTCAGCTTGATTTGCTTAATAGTATTAAAGTTATTTAAATATATTACATAACTTGATTTATAAAAGCAAAAAGCTTCAATTCCTAAAATAGAGACATTCATTATTTCATTCTGTGTGAGAAATTCAGTACTACAAAATACAAAAATAGTACTGCACAACTTTAAGGAGTAGCTTTTGTATATCTCTGTCTCTATCTCTATCCATCCGTCCGTCCGTCCATCCATCCATCTATCTATCTATCTATCTATCTATCTATCTATCTATCTATCTATC